GAAGGAAGGAAGGAAGGAAGGAAGGAAGGAAGGAAGGAAGGAAGGAAGGAAGGAAGGAAACATCACTCTGTTTCCTGGCTAAAGGTAACCTTGAATCATGATGTCTCCAGTCCAACACTCACAAGAGGCAAGTGACTTCAGTCTCACCTTCATCTCAGTTGGTGGAAATCACATCAACCTGTTGTAGCAGTTCCAGGGGTGAAGCACCCTTTGTGATACTCCACAAAAGCGGTACATCTTAGAAGCAATCACCATCATGGTCAATGGAAAGAAACGAGATTTATTAACAGGTCCCAGAATAGGACTATTTCTAACTCTTTGCTAAATAGGTAAATTCTTGAAGGACAATTTTGAACTGAGATGGAATAGATTGAACACCAACTCCATCTGCGTTTTGATACGAAGCTAATCTGAAAAAATCATGGATACTTTAGAGAAAATAAAAGACTACATGCTACATGCTTAGCATGAATATTTTGGCCCTCGGAGTCCTGCTGTCATTCTCCATCATCCTCAACATCATCTTCATCATCATCAATATCTGGCATTCATCCTATCAAATTTCACATCAGCTTTCCAATGTAGGCTGTTGCATTCCCCAAAAATTTTTTGTGGGGTGGTAATATTAGCAAGAGACAGATGCTAACTATTCAATCTGGGGGGGAAAAATGAAACAGTTGAAGAAAATGTACTTGTCACAATATCCAGCAGATTAATTGTCAAGCACAATGGAATAATGTTAATAAAATATGCAAATTAGATACAGCCTTTGGGCTCATGATTGGCTTCCATAGGGAATCTTGGGATCTGAGAACATATTGCCTAGCTGGGTTCTTTTTTAATTTAGCAGCCTGAAAATAATCTTCACAGCATGAAGGGAAATTTGAAAGACTTTTAAGGGAGGGAAAGAAAAAACGCTGAATCGTTTTCATTTGTCCTACTTCACGTTGGTGTTTATTAGTCAACCAACCATATAGAGTAAACAAATCTGTCTGAAGACTGCAGTTAATCGAAGATTTCTCTTTGGAACATTGCCCCTAAATCACTTTGGGGTGTCCTGGTGAGATTTGGGGCTAAAAGATAGGAATTTAAAGCAATTTAGAGTATATTTATTTGTTTAAAAGGGGCTGAGACCATCTTGAAAGTACGCTGAGTAAGAAGAACGCATCTCCAACAAGTATATTGAAAGAGACCTACTGAATCAAGATGGCCGATCAGGATTTTAATAGTTAATAGTTTGAGGTCCCTCTTGGGGTATCCGTGCTAAGAATGCCCAGGGAATTCTGGGAAATATACTTTCAACTATCTCTTAGAGATCCCTGATCTCTTCCACTCCCAAGAAGGAAACAGTGAGCAAACTGGTTGGAAGCTAGACAGCAATTGATCATCCATGTCTAGCGATGGGAGGAATCAGGTCAAATGTATGTTTAGGTATAGTTAAATGTTTATGGAGATATCGTTGCATTTTCTTTCTCTGACTTTTAGTTCCGTGGTACAGTGCTAAGATAGAAATAGGGAAATCCACCCAACGTTGGTTAGGCTGTGGTTCCAAGGAATCACCAAGTGGTCTTCTTCACCAAGACCACTTCCACAACACTGGCAGGGTAAGCCACTTGTATATAAGCAGAAAGCAAACCTCACTCCCTTCTAGCACTGATGATGTTCCCTAGTTGGGTTGTGAAATGTCTGCAAGAAAATAGCCAAGCGCAGACGTCCCAAGGTTGCTTTTGTTTCACTTCATGTCCAAGAAATATTTTTTTCAGTTCTGAAGAAGAACTGAAGAAGCTTCTTGGATGAGAAGCGGAATGTTTTCCAAGAAAAACCCAAGAAAGTCCAGTTGCCTTTTGGAAAAAGCACCTTTGGGACAACCGTGAGTTGGATAATTGAGAATTCCCATAGTCATTTATCCAAGCTCAGAGAGCACCAAGGACTCTATGCTTAGACTTGTTTGATCATGTTGGCTAGATTCACAACCAACGGTGTGATAGAAATCAAATCAACCAGGTCTTTATCCTTGTCCCAGGAGCACAGAAACGCCATCCCCTATGTCTCTGAGCCCCTCACCCATCAGCAACCTTGGAAGTACCACAAGCACGGCAGGCTCCTCTTCGGTGGGGACTGTCAGCATCCCCCAACGGATCCACCACATGGCTGCCAGCCATGTCAACATCACCAACAATGTCTTGCGGAGCTACGAACATTGGGACATGGCTGACAAACTGACAAAAGAAAACAAAGGTATCTCTTCCTTTTTTCTCCTTCTGCTTTGAGATCTCCTGAGGTTGTGTTGATAATGATTGGACCCAGCGTCTCTTGCCTTGCATGCTGGTTCACTGATTTGCTTTGTGACTGTTTGTGGTGAGGATTACGCTTCACCAAAGGGGGAAATCAATGGATGGGAAGCCCCAGCACATTTGTGTTTTTCTTCCTCCTAGACTCACTCCTGTGAAGTACATCAGCCAGGGCTCAGAGTGTGAAGAGGATTTGAGAAAAGGAAGTGTGAGAGGACAGGAAGGTGCCCTGTCCCCATAAGGCCATTCTTAAACAGAGCCAAGTGAAAGACCAAGCTACGCACACAAACACCCTTATAAAATACAAAGGCTCACTAAAGGGTCAATATTTGCTATTATATATATGGGCCCATGTCTGAACTCAGACAAGATCATGGAAATTTAGCACTCTTGCCAAGGTTTCATCCAGTATTGTTGACCCCTGTCCAAAACTGGAGATTCTGAAATCCTACAAGTCTATTAGATGCACGTTCTGAGATAGATAGATAGATAGATAGATAGATAGATAGATAGATAGATAGA